CCTATTTCTCGTTGTTCGCTTTGTGTTGCCGCAGTATTCGCCACACTATTATTATAATTTTGGATTAAATTTACGAACTTTGGCAACCGCGGCCACAGTCGTGGATTCGTCATTGAACCACATCAAACGCGGTAATGTGAGGAGTTCATTATTATTACAAATATTTGCGAACCAATCTGGCTGCTTTTACTTGGCATGATTTGTAACAATTTTGCCAAAACCTCGAGTTTAATAACAAATCATTCTATTTTCTTCCGAAACAGATTTCTACGACTATATCCAAAGGAATAATTAATTATGGGTGACATTCAAACTCTTGTGGACATGGGATTTGCTAAAGAGAAAGCGTAAGTAACAATTGGTGCGGCTTGTGCGGATGCATTGCAAAATTTGCATCATTCATGTTTCCTTCGTCATTTAAAAGTATATACATATAAAAGGGAAATGTTTAGTTATTTGCCCACTGTATTTGGGTTAGTTGGCGGAGGGGGCGTGGCTCTTGGTTACCCACCCACTAGAAAGAGCACAGTTCAAAACGTTCCCACGACAGTCGGGTCTACATAACCGGAACGATTTATATCTGGCTAAGGACTGCCACTCCAGCAAAACCCCGAAAACTTTTTGGGGAATTTGTATGCTGTTACAACATCATCACAGCCATGATACATCACACACACACATCACATCACATCACATCACATCACATCACATGATGATCACAGCTTAAACTTTGTAAAAAGTCATGCCAGAACCCTGGGCAACATTTGGCGTGGTTAAAATTAGCATTTTGACACACAAAATGAAAACTCTGGTTACGGCAATCACGGTATTTTTGTGCAGAGCACTTCTACTCCGGCTACGCTGACCACAGTGTTTTTGCGCAGAGCTCACTCCGAAAAATGTGCATATTTTAAACCGAATTCAATGATAAATTAGTGACCGAAAATTATGAAATTAGGTTTTATAAAGTTAAGATCCTTGACTACAAGTGTGTAAAATTGTTTTGGATCGGGTCGCCCATTTGGAACAATAGCCCAAAATCATTGGGCAAATAACTAAACCGTACCCTATAAAAACCCAAGACTCATTTTTACTTTATATAGAGAATATGCTATGAAAGTGACTAATAATAAAGGAGTGGAGCCTGCTATGGAATGGTTGTTGGCACATGCTGATGAAGATATTCCAGTAGAAACTGCTCCATCTGTGAGTGTTGAGGACAGCGGTACAGTGGGCGAAAATACAGATCCATCCTCATCGGCTGATGTTGAAGCAAAGTCGTTGAAATGCGATGATTGTGGAAAGCTATGTAAAGATCAAACGGAAGTAGAATTTCATGCTGCAAAGACAGGACATAGTAACTTCTCAGAGTCGATGGAAGAAAAGAAACCACTTACTGAAGAGGAGAAAAAGGCACAACTTGCTTTGATCGAGGAAAAATTGAAACAAAAACGACGTGAACGTGAAGAACGTGAAAAGGGCGAGGCACTGGAAAGAGAGAAAAATCGTATCAAATCGGGTAAAGATATGACTGAAGCACGGAAACGAATGGAAGAGCTTGAAATGAAAAAAATAGTAGATCAACGTAAGCGTGAAAAAGCTGAGGAAAAAGCAGCAAGGGAACGTGTTCGGGCTCAAATTGAAGCTGATAAAGCTGCTCGCAAAGCTAGGTGTTATTAACATTGCAAAATACATAATTCTCTCCAAAATGTATACATAATTTTCCGTTACAATTTTAGAGAGCAAAACCAAATTGAGCAACCTTCGTCAGTAACTACTTCCCCCACGCTGCCTGTTGCGGCATCTACAAATAGTGTTCGACAAGCGAATAAAGATTATACTCAAACTCGTTTACAAGTTCGCTTGCGTGATGGTTCCACACTTACTGAAACATTCAACGTAAAGGAACCACTGTCTGCTGTGCGCGTTTTTATTCAATTGAAAACAGGTGACGAAGCGCCTTTTAATTTAATGACGACATTTCCTCGAAAAGTGTTCACAGGGGAGGATTTTGAAAAACCTCTAGATGTGCTCGGCCTGGTGCCTTCTGCGGTGCTTATTATGACTAAATAAACGCAATTCCTTGGTGTGGAAAATTCATAAATATTAACTTAAGTGTGAGTCGATATAAATTTACTGGTGTAATTCATTGTAGCGTTTTATATTCAACATTTTGTAGTATTAGTGGAGTATATTTGGTCAAATAAAAAGGCCAGTATAAAAGCAATACAAGCATAAGATTTAATGATTTCGTCCGAAAAATTTAGCAACCTTAGCCACTTATGTTATAATTTGCATCGTGTTTATTCGCTTTAAACTCTTCAAAGATAAACTTGCATGACACATTGCGAAGATGCCTGCGTTATAGTGCTTAGCGAAAAAAAAGTAGTGAATTTTTCGCTAGTCTTGACAGTAGTGACATATGAATTTTATTTCATTGCATACGTTTATTTGCTATCCAAGAGCTTCCGGATCAAGGCATAAATTCACTTCATAGAAAATAAAGGTCAGCAATGCAATTTTCCAGGTACGTGCACCAGATGAAAATTTTGGTCCGTTCTGTTCAGCAGTATGCGCCGTTTTTGCACCTTTGGATTGATGCGTCAAAACGGTGTTTTGTTTTTTAACCGGAGTTTCAATTCAGTCCGGTTTAACGGTTGGATTTAAAAAAACTGTGTATGTATGTATCTGTATTTAGTAACAACCCTGCAAACTAAAGTTCCCGAAATCTTTAAGAGTGGTTGAAGTCCTAAATGACAAATACAAAGCATCATACACTTTTATTTCTAAGCCTTAGTAGATTGTTATGCCAAATGTGCGCAAGCACGTTAGACCTTTTCTTTTAGTGCGGCTTGGAAATCAAAAATACCGTTGCTTTGTATTTTTACATTTAGGACTTGATCAAGTATTGGAAGTTTGCTATGAATTCTGTAACCATTTCTTTACCATTATTTAAGAAATTCATATGAAATGAATGCACGATTTCTTAAAGGAAATTCTGAAAATTTTTGTCACATCGCCATGTTAACGAGAATATTCTGAATAGAGGAAAAATCTTAAAGGATTCGTAAAGATCTCTCCGATTTTTGCCGAATTTCGTAAAATTAAATACATATATCGTGCGAACTTCGATTATGTAATGCTATGTTGTGAAGATTTTTTTCAAAAAATTTCTTTACAAGTTCGGTTTAACCACTTCATATGATCTTCTTTTAAGATACGTAAATAATCGTTACAGAATTCGGATACTCTTAAAGATTTCGTTAATATTTCGGAACGATATACACATGTATTTAATTTAATTTATTAATGCTTAACGCTTAACGCCAATCGGCTTTGTACTAATGTAATAATTTAACACATTAAAAATTCTAGGATAATTACATTACAAAAACAATTAAACAATACAATGACGCAATTCAATGTAAAAAGACTATTATAACAAGTGAACTATCGTAAAGCTGTGTGTTTCAAGTCAGAAGTAGTTGATCCTTCACGTTTTTCATAAAAAGCGCATGAGTTCCTCCGAAGAAATTTAAAGTAGAGCGATTCTACTATTAGGCCTCTGCAATATGTAGTTCTTTGTAGTCCTTGTTATTTCAAATGGGCAAATGAACCCAAATTGCTCAAGAATTTCAGGTGAACAAATGTGACCATTGATTATTTTGTAGAAGGACAGGTCGGCAGCTTGCTTTCTGCTCATGAGGCTATTGATTCCGAAATGTTTGTAGACTTCATTGGTGTTCATGGTTACACCCGAAGAGCTTAAAAAGTATGACAAATACTTGCAGAATTTGTGCTGAGGAGCCTGCAGTCTATTGACAAGCTGGTCTGTGAACGGTGACCAAACTATAGAGCAGTACTCAATGATTGGTTTTACCAGTGCATTAAACAGTCGGGTGAGAGTGTACGGATTTCGGAAATCTTTGCCAGATCTGAGAATAAATCCTAACGTTTTGTGTGCTCGTAATGCTATGTTGTTTATATGGCTGGCGAAACTTAGTTCACTGTCAACGATTTCACCCAGGTCCTTAATGGTTGTGACCACCTGTAATTGTTACCGTTCAGCCAGTAAACAGGTGTATGCGGTTCACGCGAACGGGAGTAGGACATAACAGCGCATTTGCTCGTGTTTAATTAGAGTTTATTCATTGTACACCAGTCGTGGATCTTATCAACATCATGCTGCAGCATAGCAACGTCTTCATCACTGGTTATCTTTCTATATATCTTTAAATCACCTGCATAGAGCAGATATTCAGACTTAAGTTCATTACCAATGTCATTTATGAAGATATTAAACAGAATTGGTCCCAGATGTGATCCTTGCGGAACTCCAGAAGTAGAAGCGAAACTACTAGAAATACAGCCATTCACTCTGACTTGCAGATATCTTTCACACAGGTAAGATCGAAACCATTTTAAAACATTCCCTTTTACTCCATACATAACAAGTTTATCAAGTAGTATGTTGTGGTCCACCATGTCGAAAGCTTTACTGAAGTCTGTATATACTGCGTGTACATCTTTATTGCCATTCATTTTATCCAAAATATAGGTGACGTATTGATATAGATGTCGACCTACCACATGTAAACCGGTGTTGCCTGGTAGTTATGATATTCTTGAATGCGAAGGACATACAGGGCAATACCATTTTTCCAAGAGTTTAGCTAGCGACGATTGGATACAAATTGGTCGGTAATTACATACGTCTGACTTCAGTCCGGATTTGTGAATGGGACTAATATAAGATATCTTCCATACAGCGGGGAACACACCAGTTTGCACAGATTTACTAAAGATATGTGTGATTGGTTGTTGTTGTTGTAGCGGCTACAACAACCCCGCCCAGGACGGTTGGTATCTCAGTCGTTGTCGTCAAGTTCCACTAACGGCAGCCCTAGGAAGCGTGCAGCTTCTGTGGGGTTGGTCCACAGGGACAAGGCCGTTAGGGTTGTCCGGTTTTCCGGGCATGCGAAGAGATGTTTCGAGTCATGTGGGGTCTCTCCGCATGCCGGACACTCATTTGGCACATCCTCATTCAATCTACTCAGGTAGGAGTTTAACCTGCTGCAGTAGCCGGAGCGAAGTTGTGCTAGTGTTGATCGGTTCACAGAGGCCGATAGCACAATTTTTCAAAAACAAATTCGGCAGTACATCTGGACCAGCTCCTTTCTTGACGTTCAGCTTTAAAATTTGTGTATAAACATCATCATAGCAGACATCAATGTTACTTAGATCTACATCACCTTTCGGTACGTTCAAAGTGTCTACTTCTCCATGGCTAATCCTCGGGCAGTATTCATATATGCTTTCAAAGAATGACGCAAAGAGGTTACTTACTTCAACTCCACTGCTAGCTGTGTGACTCCCCCATGTTACGGTAGAAGGTATATTAATGTCATTACGCCTTTTATTCTTCACATAATTCCAAAATTTGTTTGCGTTAGTCCTGATACTGCTTTCAATGCCAGCAACATAGTTCCTGTAACAGGTTGCGCTTAGTGTTTTGCATTCGCTCCGTAGAGCAGAAAATCTTCTGCAGGTAAAACTAGATTTATATTTCTTATAGTGAGCATGTGCTGCCTTCTTAAGCTTAATCTTATTTATTAGTCGTCTAGTAAACCAGAAGGGGTATTCGTTGTGCTTCTTATTAAAAATCGGAACAAACCGGGTTTACCTTTTCATCGAGTGTATTTAGCTTATAAAGGTTGATCTAATTGGTGTTTAAGAAGAGTCGATTGAGTGCGATATAGTCGGCTTTTTTAAAACAGTATACAGAGGGAGAGTTTACCTTCTACTGGAGCTTAGTTATAGTCCCCGAGGATTAGGAGTTTGCTCTTTGGATGCTTTGCACTGATGCACGTCAGTGTTGCTATATGAGCCTGGTACACATCACGTGAAGAACGGGGTGGGATGTATACGCAACCGATGATAATACTAGTTTTTGAGCCCTTGATTTTTACAAAGATTTGCTCCAGATGATTGTTTTCAATTATTACTAGGTCAGCCGTGATGTGTTTCTTAACTGCTATAAATACTCCTCCTCCTCGCTCGCGAGAACTTGTAGACGAGTCTCTGTCTTTCCTGAACATAACGTATGTGTTATCAATCACTTCTCCATTCGAGATAGATGAGTGCAACCAAGATTCGCTTACACATATAACTTCGGTTTGAAGGCCAGCAGTCGATGTTAAAAATTTTTTTTATTTTGTTCTCAGCCCCCTAGTATTCTGATAATATATTACTCGTTTTTTGGTACTTTATGCGTTCACTTATCTGAATGTGGGGTGGGTTTGTCAACGATTCTTGGGATTCCATCTACGTATTTTATGGTCTTGTTGTCATAATTTTCGGCTAAAACGTTGAGTTCGGTACGCAGTTCACGCTGTGCAGGTGTAAGGTCGGGTTTGAAGATGATGTGCTAGCTATTGGAAGATTTAGATTTCCACAGCAACTTGGCCACATTTTTCGACGGTGTTTCAATTAGTATGGGACGGAGACGGGGATTACCTCTCAAGGGACGACCGAGTCTGCGTAGTTTCAAGGTTGGTAGTGTATCACGTATTTCTTGCGGGAATGCTGCTGCTAACTGCTCGCGATCATCTTTCAGCCTATCGGCACCAACAGTTTTCGTCGATTCTGGAACGTTGAGGACTATAGCGTTCTTCCCCTTTTTTCCGGCTATTTATCTCGGCTATAATATTATCTGGAACAACTGATCGCGTATCAAGACTATTTATTGTTGTCTCAAGAGCGCTAACTCTTTTCTCAACCTCCGTGTACTTCTTCATAGCAGTTTCATTCTGTTTGTTTAATTTCCTTAACTCCGTCCTGATATCATCTAAGCTGTTTTCTATTCCGAGTCTGACGGAACGAAGTATTTTTCAAACATATTTTCAAGAAGTTTCGCGGTATTTTCTTCATCATCTGCCTCGGATACATCTTTTGACACATACACACTAACATGCGCTGCATATCCACTTCAGCCCATTTTTCTTAATTTCGCCTGCAATATTCTTGTAGTAGATAGATAGGGCAGGCACCTTGTCGTTGGTGCGGGGGTTTAGCTAAATCAACATTCAGTCCTTTCCTGGTCTAGGGTAACGCAGCCGCTCCTGCAGATTCTGCGCTACCCTCTTTTCAGGTTTAGGGCTGCTGGCGAAGAACTGCCACCTCCTAATCCAGGGTGTTAAGTGACACCGTGCCTATTGGACGGTTTGCAGCCA